CTAGCACATGCCAGGCTTCGGAACCTATGACTTTGACAATGTTACCTATTTCTCCAAAGACCCAGATGAGCTATAGTCTATACTCCTAATATCCCCCTTAATAACCCCTCTAGTAGTCCCCCTATATAAGCCGCCGTTGATGGAGTTTAGGCTATAGCTCAAGTCAAAGAGGGAAACAGAATATGTCTGATGCTTCCAAGGTTCACAGCCCAGGTCCCTGCTGCTTTGGGCAGGGGCCGGTTGTGTTCCTTGGCGTCTCCAGAGTCCATGAAGGGGAGTTTGGGCTTTGAATCGGGGAGTTTTGGGGGTTGAGGGTAAGGGTTCATAAAGCTCAAGGTTTAGGGCTTGGAGGATGCATAAAGCTTGCGGAAATGGATGGTTGGGATGTACGGGGCAAATTCAAGCAAGAAACCTGAACCCCAAACCCTGGAGCAAATGGGCTCTTACAGGCTGTCACCTAATGCCTAAACCCTAAACCCTAATCCCTAAACCCTAACCCTAAACCCTAAACCCTAATCCCTAAACCCTAAACCCTAATCCCTAATCCCTCCACATCCCAAGCCACCTCCTATGCTGCAACCATTTTGTGAGCTCCTACTCCACGAGTACTTGCCAACATCCAGATCCTAAGGCCCTGAGAAGGTATGAAGCTCGCCCACTAGGGTGTGCATACATATATATATATATATGTATATATATGAGACATATAGACATATATATATATATCATGGGGTTATATTGGGATAATGGAAAAAGAACATGGAAACTACCTATAGGATAGAAGGATTGTATTAGGGTTTTATAGGGTTTAGACTGACTTCACAGGAACCCACGAATTGCACGAATTGTGGAGGATATCTGGTCATCTTTGTGTGTGCCTGAAAGTCCCTGGTTGCTGCAGCCACGTGTCACCTTCTTGCAGTTGGTACCAATGCCTTCAACTTGATACACCAAGTTGATAAGAACCTTTGCTGCCAAGGCGGGCTAAGGAAGCGTATTCAAACTTCTGTAGGTGCTTGCACGCCTTTTCGCAGGCTTAAAGCATTGGGGTTATATATTGGGATAATGGAAAAGAAAATGGAAACTCCTATATCATATAGGAATTTTATTAGGGTTATGTAGGGCTTATACTGCTTAAACGCTTGCTGCTTGACGGTCATGTCGGTGCAGGCTTTGGAGTTTTGGAGGGCGCTTTGGCCTCTTTTGAAGAGGGCACCATACGCACATCTATTTGCACTTCTACAGTTGCCCGGCAAACTGTTACAATATTGGGCTTATATTGGTGTTATAATGCGATAATGGAAACGGAAGCTACTATATGGAGTGTGGGGGCACATGAAAAATACCGTGGTGAGAGCTGTAGAAACGACAATGCGGGGCTTCAAAAAAAACACATCTCAAACGATAGCATCTGCCATAGTATCATGGGATTATTCCGGGCCCGGGGGTCCCTGCAAAATCATCATACAAACTGGCATGCCGGGGCCCAGGCTTTACCCAAGGTCATTAAGCCCTAAACCTTATGAGCCAAACCCTGAACCCTAATGATGTAGCAGTTGAAGTTTCTTTTCCATTCCCCTCAGAGGCCTACTCACCAAATAATATGTTTTCGGATCTCTTTTCCACTCCCTTAAACATGTCAAATCCTTAGCCCAACTCTTGGCGCCAGAAGGCAATCTCTCCTACGGAAAGATTCAGTGCTGTGGCGATGCCCTGCATCTCCTCAGCGTAATCCTTGTAGTACCTTCGGTTACTCAGGGAATATATTATGGGACTACATAGGTTGTATGGGATTATGTAGGGCTACAGGTTACTTAAGGATTATATGGCAGTACATAAGCTTGTATGGGATTGTATACGGTTTTTGGGGGTCTATGTTGTTCTATGGTAAGTTTTGTACCTGAGAGGAGCTTCCATAGATTTGGGTTGCAGGCAAGGCTTTGGGATCTACATTTAGGGCTTAGGGTTTAGGGTTTAGGGTGGGGTGTTGGGGACTTGGGCTTAGGGTCCGGGGCGTTGAGCAAACGTTAGCCGAGTCGCTTACACACTGCTAGATGTCCAAATCAAGGACGACATCTCCCTGACGTGCCACCAGGCCACGTACATCTCACATCCCCATGAAAAGTACGCATAGCCCCAGAAGCCTCGTTCAAAACTGAAACCCACCAGGACAAAGTGCGCAGATTCCATATGCTGGCTGATGCGGTCGACGATCGGCAGCACATGGGCCGGGATGTACTTCCTTTGATCATGCCAGAGCATGCAGCAGCCCTTGATTCTTGGAACCTAGACAAACAAGACCGAGTTCTCAGCGCGTGTTAAGCAATAGGGCGATCGGGAACATCTGGGTTGTCGATGGGGAACCAGTAAGACTTCATGAGCTCAGCTTCAGGCGCTTTATGGCATGTCGGCGTGAATCTGAAAATGCTTGAGGAAGGCTCATAATAGTGTGTTGAAGCTAGAACGGCGGGGTTTTCGCTAAGCGGCTGGTAGTCGAAGGACTGCCTTTAGGAAACCCTTTACAACCAAAACCCCTACATCCTGAACAATAAAATCCTGAATCCCTATCCAGAGCCCTGAATGACACCCTTCTGAAAAGAGCGTCTAAACCAAGAGGCGACCGCTATAACACCCCAAAAGGCAGACATTTAAGCTTTGGGCTAAAGGCAGGTTTCTCACTACTTCTGGAGCCACACCCAGCTGTCATGACACAATCTAAGCTTTGCTTTCTCGACTCTGAAACCTGCATGGTTCTTGCAGCAACGTCAGGCTTTCGCAGTATTTCTGGAAACCGCATGCAAATTTCCATCAGATGGTCGCTTCGCTTACAAACTGCAAGCACTACGTTCACATTACTGGCCGTAGTAGCCTAGGCACACAAGTATAAGGTTGCAATTTCCATCTCTACAATAGCACTTAAAACGGGTGAAGCCCCCAGTAAAAAGTCATTGCCCATTCATTGCAGCAATTCATTCAGTGCAGCAATTATGAGAGACGAGGCCTGGAAGTTTGGCAACTACGTATCCAGAATCAAAACCAAGGTGCTCTAAGTAACCCGTGGCCGTTGCACGATAATTCTCGAAGCCCGGCAGAGTTGCTAAAAAGCTCCACCTGTTGCTACCATTTGAAGTCTTCAGGATACTTGTAGAGGGCCCAGGCTTAGTGTTAAGTAGTCTGAGCATTTGGCGGGCTCTTGAATTTTAGGCATCAAGGCATGCACGTCATGCTTGTGTGAGGAAGGCTTCAAATATATGCTGCTTTCCATGGACCCTGAACACTTAACCCTAAACCTTCGACCCTGAAAGCTTAACCCTGACAAACCAAGGACCAACCGGCACCCGAAATCCCTCAGAAGCAGAAATCTCTAGCTTAGCCTATGCTCCTGACTAGCAGAATGGATACTTCAATTGTTACACCGTTGCCCTGAACTAGCCCCCTGACTTGACACTGCTGAACTCTAAACCTCAAATGGCCTGCAACAGGTCAGTGCCTCTCTCTCCGCAGCTACAATTTGGGAGCCTCGTGGTCGGAGCAGCGTCCAAGTCCACGGCCAAGCGCCGTGGCGCGGCGCCGACCCGGAGGTCGGTGCGGAGTCGTAGCGCCTGGAAGAGAAACTTTTAGGGTTCAGGGCCTTGGGGTGAGAAGTTCCGGGTGCAGGGTTGAATGTGCAAGGAGAAAAACTTAGGTCCGAGAGGTTTAGGAGTAAATGATGCAACACATCCCCAAAGCTTAATCAATGGGCAGCACGAAGAGGAGTGTCTTTTCATAGAACAGAACCGAGAATATATGCTCATGTTTTGGGTTCCACTTTTGTTGCAGGGATAGCTGTATAGTCTAATCATGAGCATGGTGTTCTGCGGAGCCTTCCTCAGGATCTTTTCGTGTAGGACATAGATATCGGCTTAAGGATTTTGTCGGTTCGTGAAGCTTATAAAGAGTTACATTCAAACCATATATATATATATCCTGTATACCCTATATACCCTACATATACCCTATATACCCTCTACATATATATATATACACCAATGTTACAAGGGTGAGACGCTCCGCACTTTCCGCGCGGTAAAGGATTCCAAGCACATCGGCCAATCACCCTCGCATTGAGCTCTAGAACCATCTACACCCACACACGGCCCAACTTCCTTGACTAGGCATCTTGCGCTCATATATGTATGGACGGATGATGATGATGATGATGGTGGTGATGATGATGATGATATGCATAAATTATAGAAAGACATAGGTCCCATGATTGTACTATGTCTACCGACATTCCCCCCAAAAAAACTCACGCTCCCACGACTTTCTGACGCAGTCCTCGTCTTCAATCCAGCTCCCATCGGCCAGGACGGCCAGTGTCAGAAGCAGAAACATTCCGGGAGGCGCTAAGGTCAGCATTAGATAAAGGTTTTTACTGTGGTCTCAGAAGTTCGAAGGCGTGGGCTGTCCAATTCTGCTCAATGGTGAGGCTCTGAAATCCCGTTGCATGGCCCGGGAAGCTTAGGCGCCTACATGTAAATGCCCGAACCTTCCTTGTTGCTAGTGTATGCGCACATTCCAGACCAATCGATCATCAATTGCGTGAAGAGCCTTAGATCTAGACTTTCATTCAAAGCGCAACAACATCATTCTACTCCACAAGCTTTCCAACCCCTAAACATCCCTAAACCCTACACCGAATCCCCTAAAAAATTAAACTCGTTTTTGTGCTTCTGCCAGTTCTTCAATGGCTGCGGTGGCTACGCTTCAGGAGCGACGTCCACGACTCCAATAAGAACAGCTGCCATGTCAGTGGAGGGCAGAGTTACAATAACGAGAAAGCTGAAAAGCAAAAGGATGGACTGTTTGCAATGGCATCTGTGGCAAGAATAATGATGGTACCCAATATAGAGTTTAGGGCCCTATAATGGAGAATCAAATGGAAAAGAAAATGGAAAATGAAATGGATGCTGGGATTATATAGGGGCTATCACAGTCCCGGTGAGTTCACTGCGTGCCTTTCGCACCATACATGGTGAAAGTCTTGCCCGCTCCAGTCTGGCCGTACCTAGCAGCAAGGGCAGGAGGAATGTAGGGGCCTCCTCAAGGAGCCAGAAAGGGGCTTTTTGAGGGGGGATTTTCTGCGGTGGCTATGTGAGGATGATAGGGGATAATCTAAAAAATCTATCTGGGGATAAGGAAGGAATGAGGGCATGGATCCCAACAGCTCTTGATGTGCATCAACAAATTGCCCACACAGAATAAACTGCAGTGGTCCCTGCATATCTTTATGCATATGACGCTTAGTACAGATTATGATATTGCTACAGAACACGCGACGTGACACAGGTCTGAGCACCTCTTGTCAGCTCTTCAAGCCCTGAGAACGGCGGGCGCAAAAACTTGTCACACCAAGAGTCCAAAATGGCCTCATGGCCCCTTCTTCGTTGAGGTTTCATGATGGGTGGTGTGGAACCCTTTAGACTTCGGGACGCACTTCTTTCAAGGAAGAAAAGGTCATCGCTGCATTCCGAGACCACGAGCCCCGGCGCACGCGAACATCGTCACGTTGTAACCTGCGCACAGCGGACCATGTTCAAAACGAGCAATCTGAAGATCGGCCCGCCTTAAAGGTCTTTGCATTTGAATGGCTAGCTGCATGTATTAACAACAATCAGGATGCCATGGTCCGACTTTCTGGCAAAACGTCCTGCGCACTCTACAGTATCTCCACCCAGATCACACTCAGCAAGACACAGAGTCGCAACCCCTGACCCTAGAGTAAACAGCAGGCGCCCGTTCGAGGAGAAAAGCTGCCATCCTCCCTACCTTTCCCTCAGAAATAGAATTTAAAGCCCAGATTGCCAAAAATGGGGAGTCCTGAGCGCAGTCTATGCTCAAAGGACCCTAGGCGCTACTTAGATGCTCAAAAACACAGATTTCCGAAACAAGCTGCTGGAGATGCTGCTAATGCTTCTTGAAGGTTTAGGGCGTGGGTTTGGGGTTTAGGGTTGGGGGGCTTGGCTAGCATGACAGCACTATTTCCAGTCAGGGGACCACAGCCTCTCAAGCATGCAGATAGCCTCTTTAGAACCCTTCCAAAAGCGAGGACCCAGCACGAGGGTTGGTTCGCGGAGGTTATTCAAACATTTTTTTTGGCTCAATAGGGATGATATAGGGGTTAAGGGTAACCATGATGAAAAAACGTGTTTCAAACTCACCCCTGACCACCTGTGAACCCTGAACCCTAGATCCTAAAACGGCCCGTCCCCTGCTCACAGCAGGGCGCGCACCATCAGCTGCTGACTGAACCAGATCTCTGCAGTCTTCGAAAACCTCCTCCTGTTTGAGGGGCTTAGGTTTATAAGTTTTATATTGGGTTTATAACCCTATATTGTAAGGGTACATAAGGGTATATGCAGGTTAGGGGTTAGATGTGCTTGGGGGTTTTTGGGGTCTGGGGCTTAGGTCTTGGGAGTGTAGGGTTCAGTGATCATAGGATTGTGCTTGCGATTCTGGCCATTTAGGATTTGGGCATCCGTCCAAGTGCTCGAGGTGCGAACTTGAAAGTTGTCTCCGCTTCCTTGTATACCCCAAACAAGCCCAGAGGCCCTTAATGAAAACCTAACAGATTCTGCTTGCCCCATATTTTTCCTACCTTTCCTGGAACCCTCTTAGAGACTGCTGTTTGTTAGGGCTTGAAGAATAAGAGGCAGGCTTTTTCCTCGGCTGCTGTCAAACAACTAAGCTAAGCTGCAATTTCAGGAAACCCACTTTTTACTACGTCTCCATAGCATGAAGTTCCTTAGCAGTAGCCCAGTTTGAGTGAACCTCTAACATTTGCTGTATTTCGCACCAAGGCGCCCTTTCTTCGTGGCTCAACTGGAAATTAAAGTAAATGTTCAGAGCGTGACCCATTTTAAAGGGGCTTCCAGAAGAAGCTTCATTGGTAACCCCCTAATTCGGAAGTTGCTACATATCTAGGCCGTTCAGTAGCCCTCGGTAACAAAGGAATAAAGTCTGAAAAAAAAAAAAAAGAAAAAAGTACCTACTTCTAAAGCCCCGAACTGGACCGATACAGAACATGGCATGGCTAACACCCCGGCTAGAAGTAAACATCAAGTTAAGAATTGCGAAAACAGTATCAACAATACCTTAATGAAAGCAATAGTAACAACTGCAATTATAAGATTAACAACCCCTAAACTCCTAAACAGGGTATGGGCCATAGCTGCTAATATCCACCCCTATCATCCTATAATTCTCCCCTATGTAACCCCTTTAAGGGCTTTAGACTATAGCTCATATGCCAGGATCCTGACAAGTCGTGGGCCTCGGCGAGCTGTTCACGGGCCTGCAGCTTCGGCTCCTCCACCATGAGGACATCCTGCGAGGAAAGATCTGTAGAGAGTTTAGGGTTTAGGGTTTAGGGTTTAGGGCGTAGGGTTTTTAGGGTTTAGGGCTTGGGGTCTCTAGGGTTTTGAGGCCTTTAGGGCTTTGTGGTTTTTTTTGGGCTTCCAGATTTCTAGGGTTTAGAGTAAGGATTCTAGGTTTCGGGTTTAGGGTTTCCTGGTGAGGGTTCCGGGTAGAGGTTAAATACTGCTGCCACCCTGGATATTGAACTGGACATCCGCAACACTAACCGCCCTGCCAACTCTTGAAAGCCCTGCGGCAGATATCGGAATCAGCCCAGCATGCCTCTCGAAAGTATGCAAGATTCCGGGTCTACTTTGTAGAGTCAGAAATGCTAGAGGACCGTCTGGCTGCGTGAGTTCCGCAGCATCCACAGCATCAATACCAATGTGGGTCTAAGGGATAAGAGAGGATTCGGGGGATGGCCCTCATGCATCATGAAGCCAGCATGCTGAGCGGTTCACTTGGCAATTAGGAACTCCGGAAAGTTGCCCCAACCATCAATGCTTGCCAGCACCCCAAACATCCCACATCCCTAAGCGCTAGACCCTCCTTAAGCCTACACTAAAACCTCCTCTGAACGTAACAAACCCTGAACCCCAACCCGGAAACCAGATGACATGTGCAACGACAAGCCAATCCTGCAATCAGCACCCTTCTCAGACAGCCCAGCCACCCAAGCTCTCTCAAAACAGACCTTCAACCTCACAAAGACTTGGGGGATTGTCAAAATTATGGTCCCTTTTTGGGTCCCTTAAATTAGGCCCCGTATTATAATAGGGACCCAATAAATGACCATAATTTTGACAATCCCCCGACTTCTTGCTGAAGGTAGCCCCTGTTTGGGGTTCCGCGTTTGTTTGTTTCTAACACCTGGCAGAGTGATGGCAAGCTTCCCAAAACATGCCAGTCTGGTTTGCACCGAGAGCCGAAACCGCTGCATACATTCAAGTACTTCATGGGGCTTAGGAGCTACTTATAGCGGGGCTTATAACCCTACTTAAAATCCCCGTAACTGGACTTATCTAGGTTACCTAAACCCTAAACTCCTGATCTCTAAGCTCCCTACCCCCAAGCACGCAAGCTTAAAGCGCCTAGGATACCCTGCTGGCCTCTGCTGCCTTGATGAGTCCAGCATCAATGCCCGACTCCTGCGCTTCCGCGAACCCAAGCTGAGGAAGTATGAGGCACGATTAGGGCCTGGGTTCGTATAACAGAAACTCAGGTTTTTTGTCAGCCTCTTTTCCGCAGCACTGAATCTCCTTGAGGGCAGAGTTTGAGGTTTAAGTGGTTCGGGCTTGCTAGAGTGTCATGTAGGCTGAACGGTTCAGCTACTTCTACACCCCTGCGACAAATCCAGATGGAACTCTCTTGCCCGTTCAGAGGGCATCAATATACTATATAGTAGTTTCAACTTCCTTTTCCATTATCCCTATAGAACCCCAATTTGCTCAATAGTATATAGTAGCCTTTAGCGCAGGGAAGCTGGCACTTCGCAGGTATTTTGGGCCTCGGGAGTGGCAAAGAGTTGGTCTCTCCTCTGCACTCCCAAACCTTGAAACAACTTTGAAGCGCTGTTCAAAAAAAAGGCAGCTTCCACTTCATGTTCAACAGTTTTTTTCCAGTTGAGTCTCCATTCCTCCTATATTTCCGTATCTACAACAATATACCCCTAACATGAACCCCCAAAACCCTACACTCTATCCCCAATCTTCGACCGGCCGTCAGCTCATATGAGCTCCAAGCGACTTGCACCAGGCAACCTGGGATATTAATACGCGGTTAAGGTTTAGGGTTTAGGGTTTAGGGTTTAGGGTTGAGCCCTCGTCTAAACTCATAATATCCCCCTTAGTAGCCCCTATAATCGTCCCCTATATACTCCCTTACATAACCCCCCTTTAAGGAGTTTAGACCCAAAACCGTAAACCCTAAATGGTAATGGTAGTTTCCATTTTCTTTTCCATTATCCCTGGCCCTTGACCCTGAACCCTAAGCCCTAAACTTTAAATCCTAAACCCTAGACCTTCCACGCCAACTCCTGAATCCTAAATCCTAAGACTTAAACCCCACATCCTAAACTCTAAACCCCAAACCTTAAACCCTAAACCCTGCGTGGTCGGAACCTTGGCTTGCTGTATAGCAAACTTCAGACCGTGGACCTGGCATTGAGGAGTCAACACTTTCGGGGTTAGGGCTTTTTTCCCGGACCTTCTCCTTCGCAGGAATGCTGTAACAGGCTTAGGGTTTAGAGAGTCAGGGCTTGGGGTCAACAGTTTAGGGTTGAAAGACAATAGGGTTTAGGGGTTCAGGGATTTGGGTTTAGGACCAAGTCGACTTTCAATTCTTGAAAAGTTTTCGGGCGGATGTTGCTGGAGGAAATCTCGACTTCGGCTTCAATTCAAGGCAGGCACTCGGAGACTCCCAGCAGACTTGTCTTTGGTTAGCTAGGAATGAAGGAATGCAGCCTTATAGTAGTTACTATATAGCCCCATTATAACAGTTTCCATTGTCTCATCCATTCCTTGATTTTCAGCTAACCAAAGATAAGCAGAGCCACCCCCTGCTTCAACAGTTCCTACTGGGCAAGAGCGGCATACTCGGATAGGAAAAGAATCCTCTCCCAGAAGAGAATGCACTTCCCCGCAAGAACTTTCTGCAGCGGCCCAGCACAACCCGCGTGAAGACTGCGTTCCTCAGCATCAAGCTGCTCCAACGAACCCGCAAGTAAGGTTGGGGATTTCGGTTTAGGTTCCTATTCTGACCTTTGCAAGTTTGGAGCCCATCCCTTAACAACCATTCTTGCTGCCAAAAGAGGAGCAACTGCACAAGATACAGCGGTGTAACAAGAGTCGTCTATATGCAAGCTTCTACCCTGAACACTAACCTCTAGACAAAAAAGGCCGTAATGAGCTGTAGTCTAAACTCCTTGAAGGGATTATGTGCGGGGTTCCATCGGGATTGTTATAAGGGTTATTAAGGGGGATACTACGAGTTAAGACCACAGCTCAGATAATGCTGTTATTGCACAATCATGCATCATGTTGGAACCTAGGAAAGGTACTGTAGGGGGGGTGGTAGGGGAACCCATGATGAACCCTAATTCTATGTACCAAAAGGCCCAACCAACCTCTGAACTTTGTTTGAACAATCCTAAACCCTAAACCCTAACCCCTAAAGTGTTTTCTCTTTGAATCTTGATCCTGTCTTTGAAGCTGAGCCCTGTCCCTGTCTGCCCCCTTCACAAACCCCGCGATGCTTTTTCGGAACTATCCTTGAAACCCTAAACCCTAGAACCCTGAACTAAACCATAAGCCATAAACCCTAGACCCTACAACCCTAAACCCTAAACCCTAAACCCTACAACCCTAAACCCTACAACCCTAAACCCTAAAACCCTAAACCTTAAACCCTAAACCCTACAACCCTACAACCCAAAACCCTACAACCCTAAACCCTACAACCCTAAACCCTACAACCCTACAACCCAAAACCCTAAAACATAATCATCCCGTAGTCCAAGACATCGACACAAGGTCCCAAGGTGCCCCCTGTTTCGAGAACTCCCATAACCCAGACCACGGTTTAGGGTTTAGGGTTCAGGGTTTAGGGTTTAGGGAGACCCCTGTTTGATAAACCCCTCCCCTTAGTAAGAATAATTTCAATAATGGGTCATATTGGGGTAATATTGGGGGCATGGAAAATAAGATGGAAACTGCTGTTTAGGGTTTAAGGTTTAGGGTTTAGACCCGTGATTAATAAACCCCCTCCCCTTAATAGGGATTATAATAGGGATAATGGAAGAGAAAATGGAAACTACAATATAGTATTTTGGGGTCATATAGGGGTCATATAGGGATAATGGGATTATAATAGGGATCCTAATATTAAGGCCCTTAAAAGGAGGGGGTTTATCAATCATGGGTCTACATTACTCAGCAACCAAAGCAACAGCCGGTTCGACGTTGCGCTCCGCAGTGGCAGTCTTAAGTGCAACCTTCAGACTAGCAGCTTGTTGCTTCTCAGAGGGTCTATAACCCCTAAAATACTATAACATAACTCCTAATGTTACCCCAATAACCCTATATAACCCCTGTATAGT